TAAATCCTGATGCAAATTTTGCTCTTTTCGGCGAATCTGCCTTGTAGCTCTTTTTATTTGGTCTGACATAATTACCCTATCTGCCGTATTATCTAGAAATCCATCTATAGCATTTGCAAGCTCTGTGATGGTAGCCATATTATCATCAGAATTATACAAGTCTGGAGAATTCCCTCGTTCAGGTGTATTTTTTCGTGATGAGATGGCCCTAATCCGGCATCGTAGTCTATCAACTTGCTCTTCAGATTCTTCCAACCGCTTTTCCAGATCAGAGATATATTTTTCCTTATCTCGTACATCCTTCTTAGCTTGATATAGTCGACTTTTTAGGCTGGAGATTTCAGACTTCAACTCTACTATCTCTTCTTTCGAAGCATTCTCAAGATGCTCTATTTCCCTATTGAGAATTTGGATTTCCTGTTCACACCGGGAATAATCTCTCTCCAGCTGATTAATTCGACTTTCATTCTGGCGGTTAAGATCTACCTCTGTTTGCAATTCACTATGAAGATGGTAGTTTTCCTCCTCCAGCTCAGCTTTATATTCTTCACATGTTCTTCTCTGCCTTGGATGAGGCCTCCGAAATGCCATTCTTTTTTGTGATTATAAAAGAGAATAGGAATGAGCCAACCACAAATCTTGATCAATCCCAATGAGGCTCAGAGGATTGAAAAAAATATCATATTGCGTGGAATATATTATCGCCCGACTGGCTATCATCTCAACCCCAAATCGTTAAGAGATGCATGTAAAAAAGAGGGCCATCGATTCCGCCTAAGTGAATGCAAAAATTTTTTAGAAGATCAAGAGTCATACCAAACTAATAAAACCTCTCCGAAATACATTCCTAGAGTCAGTTATGGGCGAATAACACGCCCAAATTGTGTACACCAGTGCGATATACTTTTTCTCACTCATGATCACTATAAAGGTAAAAAATATAAAGCATTACTTAACATTATAGACTGCGCCTCCCGATATAAAGCTTCTGTTCCACTCACATCGAAGAATAGCTCAGAAGTTGCTAAGGCATTTAGGAAAGTATATGGTGATCGAAACAATCCATTAACATGGCCGAAGCTCCTACAATGTGATAATGGGAGAGAATGGATGGGAGAGACTTCCCGTCTAATGCAAGATCACGATGTTACAATTCGGGTGATTGGCCCATATAGCCACCGTGAAACTGCAATTGTAGAGCGTTTCAACCAGACGCTCTCGAAAATTCTATATAAGATTCAATATGCTGTTGAGTCTATATCATCCGATCCTG